GAGATGTGTGTGTGTGTGTGTGTGTGTGTGTTGCTCGACAGTCTTGCAGAGTAAGCAACAATCATTTTCATTCTGTGTGCGTAGCTTACAACCGACCGTTGCAACCAGAAGAATGCCCCCAGGCAACCGCATCATTGACGATGCCTGTTAAGGGTAGATCAGTGCCACACTTGACTCGCTCGGCTCCAGATTTCTGAGGCGAACTCTCGTACGACACAATAGCGAAGTCGGGCGAAAAGGCCGCACCGAATCGTCATAGACCGTTCAATCTTTGTCCCTGCTTGACGATCTGTTCATTATCATAACTTTGATGCTTGAGCATTCCAAACCAAAATGTAGAGGCTTCAGTAGACGACTACTGCGCCTGAGATACGGATTCATCTTTCATCCGAATAGCATCCAACACGTTGTGGTTATTCGGCTACGTCCTTTAACACCGCTAATATTTGACATGAAAGCTAATCGCTTCTGGATTGCACGATGTCAAGCAGAGGTTCGTAGAGTGATCCATGCTACAGATGGGATTATGAAGCTTGATTATCTTCTAGCCTTAGCAGAGTCCTTCAACTGTTTCGTAGTGCTTAGGCTTTCACGTGCATAGTTAATCATCTTTACTAACAGTACGTGCTCCAGGTTTGACTGCAGATCGTCGACTTTGGATTGCGATGGCATCTGTTGAAAATATTACACTTTCGAAAAACCTTAATAATCTGCCCCAAGTGATGATTCTTTCTTGTGACAACGTTCCAAAGTGACTGATGACCGACTGAACATGCAACTCTTTAATTGCTTGGCTATATGGCCAGCTGTGACTACGTACCCAGTAAGCAATTTCGTTCTTGTAGTTTTAACTTTTCCTGTAGCTTTTTTGCGCACTGCGAAAACCTTGTGCACTATGTCATGCTGTTTCTATATTCAGTTAATGACGGCAGGAAATTATTTTAAACGGATGTTGGACGCACTTAAATCTTTAAATCCGGCATTAGTTTGAATTTAGAGTGAAAAATTTGTGTCCATTTATAAAGTTCATACGTTTTTATGTTTTCTTGCGTTTCTTTCTCTAATTCATGAAATATGGCGCTAGATGAAAATGGCTGTTCATACACTTTCCAAACGGTGAGGCGGAAGAACAATTAAAATAATTACGCCATACCCTTCTGCAGATCTCAGAAGTTGAGTGACACATTTCATCGTGAATAATGTGCTTAATTAATTTTCCATTGAAACATCATTAGTCAAAGTTTTTGCTCTTTAATATAAAGAGTGATCACTACTAACATAAGCTGAGGAAGGTGGCTATGATAATGGTGACGGAAAGCCGGAAGACGACAACAATTCGTACAGCTATCCAGCTTGTAACTTTAGTCTAGGACGAAATTCTCTGACCGTTGATTTCACTCACTGCTTTCTATTTCAAGCTGAGCTATCCAAATTTTTCACAACAAGAGGTGGGCCAGTGGATGAAGTTTTGTGATTTTTGCTCATTTATATTCTAGCCTCTTCATACTTTAATACCATCTTTCCGTTAAAAGTAGATAGCCAAGACTTCCCACAACATATACAAAATAGTAAGTGCTTTGTTTAAGAGATAGAAGATGCTATTCAAAAAGTTATATCAAAATATTCATGAAGCTTTTGTATTTTTTCCAAATGTTTTATTCAGCATCTTTCCCAAAGGAAATAATGGATATATTTTTTAATAATTCATCAAATGAATTTAAACACAGTTAAAACGGATCAGTAACACCTGGTAAAGTACGAACAGATTAGTATGTTTGAAAGAGCATGCCCAGTTTTCGGCCATCGTTCGACGCATCAACGTCGTCCCAGCTGACAGTAAGTGGAATTGCTGAAATTCTGCAGATCACCCCATTTGTTTGCAATGTTGTACTAAGGATCAATAAAGTGCTTTTCAGTAAATGCGGATAAATCAAGTCAAGTCTGTTGCTACCGCAAATAATCGCTATCTGCTTTTTAATAGTTCCAAGCGAAAACAAATGATCAGTGTTAATACAGACTGCAACAAGTGAAAGCAAAGCTATATTCATAGCAAGCCGAATTTAAGTTGGTTAGCACCTCAGCCGTGAACTTCAGAAATGGCTTCTGGAACTGGATTAATTGAGATATGACTGAGTGTTTAAAGACTCCATCCCGGCATACGCCCAGTCCTCATCTGCCTTCGTGTCAGCTTGCAGCCTACCGAAGCACCGTAAATATGGTATAGATTATCGTTCAAGAACTTCTCAATAAAAATCTGTGGCAGAGCACATATCGTTGACTAGAAGAACCATGATCCGTTGATAGAGTAAGTCTAATTCCTTGGAGGACGGCCTGCGGCAATCATACAGGACATTGAAGACATTAATCGAAAGGTTCGCCAAAAATACGCAAATGTCGCTACTAAGTCAATGCACAACAAAGAAGAAGAAGAAGTCAACTCAATTGTGGCAAAAAGTTACAGCAGCAGTATTTCAGTGTAATTTTATGCATATCTAACGATAAAAGAAAAAGCTCATCGTAAGGGATGTTGAGACTGCAAGCTCAGTAAAACGATACGTTTCAACTTCTTCAAATTCTTAGGTGTCCTAGAAATAATATAGGTATCGTCCTGCGGTAAATCCCGGTGTGTGATTGATTGAACGGCGTGACTTTGCTTCTAGTACCTGAACGCAGAGCAAGTCCTCGTCTGAACTTAATGTGTAAGGCATGCTTAGTCCGTCAGCAACGAGCTACCAAATCACTGCACTGCACAGACAATGGAAGACGCTACCCGGTCAATGATTTCCACCAGATCAACCTTAGTGACATGAGAAATGAGCACGATCGCACGACGTATATTACGTTGCAGAACATCAAAAACCACTAGGTGGATGTAGATTATTATTGACCGGGTAACGGTACTAAATAGCCAAAGGCAAAGAGAGCAATCTCGCTCGACGGTGGTACCGAGAATTTCAGCAGTCTCATCAAGAAGAACGATCCATTGAACACTTTGGTGAACACGGAATTCACCTGATCAGACCAGTCACGATCGTCGTTGGAATGAACCCCCAAGTTCTTAACAGCATGAGCACTTCGGATCAGTTCACTCTCAACAGCTGCTTTTAGTTCGGCTACTAGCAACAACTTAGCTGGCCTAATGCCTTACATGACGCAGGTCATTCGAACGCTCTTGCTACCGTTGATCTTCAAAACGTTGAGCTCTATCAACTGCTCAATTTCGGTGATGGCACACTGTAGCTTAGAAGAGTCAGCAACGTATCTGACAGCGTAGATCAGTGCCATATTATCAGTGTATCAAACAGACACGATGGGCGATGACTTCAATCAGATTCACATAGAGGTTGAGTAACAGTGGTAACAGCACGAAGCCTTGCTGGACTCCAAGGTTATTTGGCATATTGAAAGATCGTCGCTTTCCAACGGTGACGAACTGCTGCCTCTCAAAAAAAATAGTCTGCCACCCAGTGGCGCAAGTCGTTGGTAACTCCAGCGTCTTGTAGGCGTCTGAGCACGACGTTAAATGCTGACGATAATTCAGTAAAGATGGCATTTGCTGCAGATCCTCGATGATCTAACGCAGACGCAAGGATGTCAGGGAAGTCTGTGCAGCGAGTGACAGCGTCAAGCGTGGA